TCTCTCTCTCTCTCTCTCTAATATATTTACCTTTTCTATTTTTAGTGTTGATTTATGATGAAATATGTTGTATAAAATATAGCACACTATTATAACAATAATATATTCATACATATTTGTGAATGTTTAATTCATAACAATTTTTAAAAATTATATTAAATTTTTAAACATATGGTTTATAATACTTTTATGTTTAATAAGAGTTCTAAATTTAATTAGTTATTTATTAACTATAATTATTTATTTACTTGTGATGAATCTTTATATTTTATTGTCAATAATTGGTATGTACATATATTTTTAAAACTTTATACAATTTGATATTCTTAATTAATATGTATTATTAGTATCTAACCGTCCAATAAAATCCGATCGCGCCGTTTTTGTAATTACTCTTAAACTATATGAGCTAGATCAAATCTGTAAACTGTAAAATGATGGTCCACATATCTAGTTTTTTATGTCAAAAAATTATTGAAATCACGTGATCAGAACATAAAAATTTTTGGGTCATTTCGAAATGGCATGGTTTTAGCCCAGTTGAAAGGGGGGTCGAAAGGGGGCGGGTATGCTATTCGGTAGAGGAGATGTCAAAGTATATGATAGCAAAGTTTCATAAACATTGGATAACTATTCTTTCGTAGCGAACAAAATATTCAAGAAATTTGACACAATATTTGGGCAAAAATAGCCCAATTTTGACCTTTTTATACTACATTTTTGTTGTTATAAAAAGTCGACTTCAGAACCATTTTTCCCCATAGACCTAATGTTAATAAAATTGACAATTTCTCGTAGATGGATTGACTAATCTTAATCAAACTTTGCTATCATATACTTTGACATCTCCTCTACCGAATAGCATACCCGCCCCCTTCCGACCCCTCTTTCAACTGGGCTAAAACCATGCCATTTCGAAATGACCCAAAAATTTTTATGTTCTGATCACGTGATTTCAATAATTTTTTGACATAAAAAACTAGATATGTGGACCATCATTTTACAGTTTACAGATTTGATCTAGCTCAT